GCCAACACACACACACTCCTGCAAATCAAAATGCAATCCCAGGTCAGTACAGATGCTCCGAGTAAGGTCTGTAGATGTAGGTGGAGTTGTACCGAGCGTCCGAGCCCTCGAGTTGGCTCGGCGCCAGGGTCACCTCGTCCCCGCCCACCACGTCTTTTCTCTCCACCCTTGTGTGGGACAGATGCTGGTAGATTCCTCCGGCCAGGCCTCCCGACGTCCGATGGTCCGCCCCGATTCGGAACACGCTCGACCTCCGGTCCCCGCCATTGGTCGTTGAAGTACGCTCAACCACACGTTGCTGCTGCTGCAGCTGTAGCTGCTGTTGTTGCTGCTGTTGCTGCTGCTGCTGCTGCTGCTGCTGCTCCAGATATAAAACCCGCCTGGCCTCCTGTGCCTGGAAGCCCGTGTCCACGAAGAGGGGCCCCGGTCTCTCCCGACCCCGGCCTGTGTAGTAGATGGTCTCCGCTTCATCCGTGAGGTCAGCGTTGTCCTCAAACCCACGCTCAGCTGTGTGGCGGTCTAGGACAATCTGACTAGCGTGTATGCGGCGTTCGTCCGCTGTTCCAACCGCCCCATCTATCCGAGATGTTTGAGCTCCACCGGGCAACGGTGGCGCCACCGGAATTTGTTGCTGAGTGACGTAAGCACCTCCTTGATGAGCACCGAACCGGGCGCCTTCCGTTACTACCCTTGATGTCGTTGTTGTAGTAGTCATTACACCTTGTTGCTGCTGCTGCTGCTGTTGGAAGCTACCTGTTCTGACCAGTGGTGTAGCCAGCTCCTCTCGTGTGCTCACGACACGTGAGTAATTGTTATGTGGCACCTCTTCCACCCCGTTCAGTCCGTGAATGGTGGCTATCACGTTGTCCTGTTGGAAACCCCTGTTGTCCCAGCCCGAGGCATGCCCGTTCTCCAACGCACCTGTAGTCACCCCGCCATTGGTCAGCAGATGACTCTGGTCTGTGTAGGCATTGGACTGGAGAGCCTGTCTTCTTTCCTCTCTGGGAAGAACAAAACAGTATACAGTGTACGGAAATCTTTTCGATATGTTCGAATTTTGCTGTGTGTTTGTTTTAAACATAAAGAAGATATTTACATATGTATTTATACATCATGCTCAAGTGTTAATGTACAAGAAAAATGTGGGGCCTGAAAACCTGTTCACTACGTGCTTGTTCAATCAATCAGTCAGTCAATCAATCAATCAATCAATCAATCAATCAATCAATTTCATCTGAAAATGAAAAATTGGATTGGCTAATAAATACTTCTATCATTAAAAAATATGAAAAGATATTACAGTGTATAAGGTACGATAAGATTCGACAAAACAAGTTTCTTTGAGATACGAGTAAGGTAAACGTTACAACATCGGAACGTTTGTTTCGCAGTTGCTCGTATTGATAAAAATCGATACAAGAAACAATAATGAATAATACATGTACAACATGTAGGCCTACACTGAGGAAAATTAGTGCCACAATAAAAACATGTCAAGTATACCTACTGCCTTTTCCTCTTCTTTGACATTTTTTCCTCAGTGTTTTTATATTTTATTTCTATACATACTATACTAGTCATTTATCACAAACAAAGTTTGGGACATTTTTTTTTAACTACAAAGGGAGACTATATCGATTACACAAATTTGGTCTACACTTAGTTTCCCTTTGTGAAAAAGACATGCTTGCCGTGAAAAATGGAATTCCTGGAATACTGCATATTAATGAGTATTGAATAGAAATTTTGAAACATCTGGATTATTTCGTTCTCAAGAAGTTCAACTTCTCGTGACTTCTAGAAGGAGTTAATAGTAGAACAACTTTTGTGGGCGGCTATTCTGGTACGTGTGTTTAACCCAAAGAGGTTGTATTTAACATTAATAGAGTTCGTGGCAGTTATGTCTCCCACATAAACGAACGGGGGTTGCGTGTGCCCACACAGGGACATTGAACCTCAAGAGCAAGATATATATATATATATATGCGCTGTTCAACAGACGGATAAGTACTTTTCGAGACTCACGTGGAGGCGTCTCGTCAGTCTGAAGAAGACATCGACAAGCTTGCACTGAAATCTGGAGTCTGGGTGGTGTATACTACAGCTCGAGGGGAGCAGGGTGGGGGCTTATATTTTTATTGTTAATTTAAATGGGGGCACGCCGGCCATGAC